GCATATGGGGCCTTCGACACCCCTTAGAGTGGAGTCACCCACTACAATGACTCTTGTGGGGTTCTTTTCAGAGCCGGTTTTAATACCTGGTATGAAGTGACCTGGCCTTGGTGGACCTTGGTCTTCTTCATTTGTCTCATTTTCTTCCTCCTTCTCTTCTTTGTTCAAAAGTTCCAGGGCCCTGAATCTATTGTGAAGGGGCACCATGGAGGGTGAGGGAGGTCCGGAGAGGATTTTCCTACCTCCCTCATCTCTTAGGGCCCCTCCTTCTGCCTGATAGCAAGAGGATTTTGCTGAGAGCCTGAGAAGGTCGTTGGCACTCTGTTTCCTGCTCTTTGGATGCATATGCCACTGCAATCTCTCTGCTCAGTGTACAGTATGCAGGAAATGTAAAGATGAGTAAACAAAACAAATACGCACAATTTGTGAGGTAGACAATATTTTGTTCTTCCTTCTGGACTGCAGTTTTACTCCCATGCTGTGAGTCATCAAGCTTCCCTGTGAGAAGCCTAGCCTGACTCAACTGCAGTGCTCACAGAGGTGATCTCTTCCAATGCAGGGTCTGACACAGAGACCTGGAACTGTGTGTTTGTCAGCGTTTGATGGTGCTGAGGTCCCGATCTGAACCCCCAGCTGTAGAATCATTCCTTCTTCAGTTTGGCTTTGCAGCTTGGCTGTGAGGCCTCTGCCTACTTCCATTGCAAAATGTCCGAGGGTGAGTTATCGAGAGACCTACCAGACAGTCTTTCAGTGAAGTGCTTATTGGTTTTGTGCTCCTGCAGGTGGCCCTGAGGGCCTGGCGGACGAGGTGGAGGACTTCCATGAGGCGCAGTTCCAGGCGGTGATGGCGGCCCTGGAGAGCGGGGAGGAGGCCGGGGACAGCGAGGAGGAGGAGGAGGAGGAGGTGCTGGGGCTGCAGCTGCCCGAGGAGGATGAACACGGTGAGGAGGAAGAAGAGGAGGATGAGGATGTACAGGGGCCGGATCTTTACATCGACCACAGTGCAGAAGAGGATGGAGGTGAGGAGGAGGATGGAGAAAGTGAGGAGGATGGAGGAGATGAGGAGGAGGAGGATGGAGGAGATGAAGACGAGGGGGGTAATGAGGTTGAAGATGAAGATAGTGACCTCTCCATGGAAAGCGACTTGGAGGAACACCGTCAGGACACTAAGCTTCCCCACGAGCTCTCCTGGGGCCAACGCAAGCAACTCTACTATGACACAGACTACGGGACTGATGCCCAGGCCAAGGGCAAGCGTAGCCAGCAAGAAGTTGATGCTGAGGAGGAGGAAGAGGAGCAGGAGGCTCAAGTCATCCAGAAACGGTTGGTGCAGGATTTAGGGGAAGATGATTATGGGCTGGATGTGATCCAGGGGTATGTGGCTCAGCAGCAGAAAACCCTCGATAGCAAAGGGCAGAAGATTGACAAGGATTTGCAGGCCCTCTCCAAGAAGGAGCAGCTAAAGCTACTGAAGCAGGAGTCCCCGGAGCTCCTGCAGCTGATTGAGGACTTTGAAGTCAAGCTGATGGAGCTCAAGGACGAACTCCACCCGCTGCTGCAAATGGTCAAAAACGGCACTATACCACAAGGGAAAGGTAGTCGCTATTTGCAGACCAAGTATCATCTGTACTTGAATTACTGTGCCAATATCAGTTTCTATTTGGTGTTAAAGTCAAAGAGGATGCCGGTTCATAGTCACCCCATTATCGAACGGCTGGTTGCTTACAGAAATATAATCAATGACCTAGCAGTTATAGACCAAAAGTTATCCTCACAAGTTCGTATGCTTTTGAAAAACTACTATGATAAGAAGGAGGATAAATTGCGTAAGGAGAAGAAGTTTGCGGTGTTCCTCCCACTGGATGTTAAGAAAAACAAATCAAAACGTGCTCCTGTGCTTGCTAATGGCCGGGCTACTGCTGGTGAGCTGTCAGATGAGTCAGACCTGGATGAGGAGGCTGCGCTAAAATACTATAAGATGATGGAGGAGAAGTTGAAACTCAAGAGGAAGAGAGCTGAAGATGAAGACATGCTTGAAGAGGAAGCGATGTTGGAAGGAGAGGATCCAAATAAAAAGAGAGGTGTGACCTATCAGATGATCAAGAACAAAGGCCTCACCCCCAGAAGGAAGAAGATTGATCGCAACCCCAGGGTCAAGCATCGGGAGAAGTTTCGGCGAGCCAAGATTCGCCGCAAGGGCCAGGTCCGTGAAGTTCAGAGGGAATTACACAGATATGCTGGGGAACTGTCTGGCATTCGTGCGGGGGTTAAGAAGAGCAGGAAGCTTCAATGATAATTATTTTTCTCTGATTCTGAGGGTTGCAAATAGCACTAAAGAATCCAATAAATTTTTTATAAAGGATATTGTGTGTTTTTTCCTTAAGAAAACTGGGGGTGGGATGGAACTGGGTTGGGGTTTTTTTTTTTCAGAGGATGCTTTTCAGAAGGTGCCACCTCTAAAAGGAGCACAGGGCCCTTGCCTCACCTGGCCTTTGTGTTAAGGTGTTTTATTCTGTTGCGATGCTGTCTTTCCATACTGTAAGTACTGGCTTTAAGAGGCTGCAAGGGGGGTGGGATGGGGGGACCTTCCAAGGCTGGGTTGAGAATGAGGTTTGTGCATCTGCCACTGCCTTCTTTTTGTGGTCTTGGTCGGGTTCATGTTCATCCTTTTTCTGTGTTGAGCTGCAGAAAGAGATATATGTGGCTATGGTATTTTCTCTTAATTCTTCTGATTAACTCCTTGTGCTTATACTTTTAAGAACTAACTACTTTTAAGGTCTCTTAAATCTTTTAAGTTTTGTAATCAAGCAGAAAGCTATTACTTAAACCCCATGTGGCCTGAGATACCGTTTCACCTCCTGAATTCAGAAGCAAAGCAAGGACTTTTCTAGATTTCATAGCTATTTATCTGTGACAAATATATTAACTTCATCTATGATAAATATGTTAACTGTTGTCTGCTCTTATAGGTCTAACGTAGCATTGATACTGGACAAACATGTAAGATGTAACATTGTCTTCAGTTTGAAGGTAAACTTTCCAAATGTTTTGATGACTTCCATGCCTTCTGGTGGGAAAATGCATTTAATCTCACACTGAAGTTCTTGCTGGGAGCTGGCTGTGAGTGGTGAGTTCCAGCTCAAGCTGTAAAGGAGGAATGACAGATGAATTTTTCTTAAAAGTTTAACAAATGTCTCGGGTAACACCTGCACTTGTGTCTGGGTCAGGTTTCAGGGAGCCCTACCAGTAGCATCTGAAAGGTACTACTGTGTTTCCCATCTCAAATCACTTAAGGGGAATAATTGTCTTGTCAATAAATGTTATTTCATGTTATGGAAGCACTAGTGTATTTAGATGGTTTGTTTTAGGGATTTTTTGTTTTGTTTTGGGGTGGTTTTGTGTGTGATAGTCTTGAGGGATGCCAAAATACGAGCATATGTTCTTGAACCTCTGACAGGCTAGATGCTGTAATTCAGACATGAAGCTCTGCTCACTTTCTTCAAGTGAAATATACTTCTGTAGGTTTTGATGTAAACCTTTACACCCTAGGCCTGTTTCTCCCAGGAACATGTTTATTGCTGACTGGAGAATATTCTGTGAATTTTCAAAGCTGGCTGTTAAAGGGAGGGGTAGAAAAACCAATAAACTTAAGCTGGACAGATAGAATAGAATAGAAGTAAGGAGACTTTCTGTAGTCCTTACATGTCCTGGAACCGTAGGATGTGGAGCTATGCATGGCGATTTCTGGTATGGTAGATGCATAAATCAAAATAGTGAAATGACAAGTTTAATGGCCCTGCATTTGTTTGCCCCCTGCTGCTCACAGGCCAAACATAAAAAAAAAAAAAAAAAAAAAGAAAAATTGCTCCACAGAAAGTGATTACAAAGCATCGGGAATTGATCCCCTCCATGAAATTGCCTGGGTCACCGAGGCACAAGTGTGGCTTGCTTGAAGAGGTCACAGACCACGTTCTGTCATTTGAGGAATGCTCTCTAGCCTGATGGCCTCAGGGGACATGTGTGGGGATAAAGGTGTCCTTCACCTGTGCTTACTCATCCTCCCTTACTGTGAGCAGAATCAATGGTGTTGGCCACTTGCTCTTCCGAGTGAGAAATGCATGGTTTTTAGTGGGTCCCAGCCTCACCAAAGAGGGAACTAGAGCTCTTCCCAAAACACCTTTTATTAATTCTGCACTGGGATCATGGTGCAGGCCGCTACTGATAATGCTGAGCTATGCTCCCAAGGCTTTGCAAAGAGGTCGGCAAACAGTAACATGCTGGAAAAAAAAGCAGCTTATGTGATTTTTCTGGGGAGGAATGGTGTTGTATAACAGGCACCATGTTATGAAGAAAATAATCCAGCAGAGGTACTAACTGATCTTATTTTTGCAGCACCTGCTCACGCACGTTTCGTACTTTGTGCAAAATTGAAGGGCTGATGATCTTTTGAAGGATCTGCAGGCAAGCTCTAAGTATCCAAGATGACTTCGTGTTCCCTTGAAAAGCTTTAGGCAGCCCACAAGCAAAATTCTGGCAACTTCCATCTGAGCAATAAATAAGGGAAGTAATAAATTGGCACGCTGTTATGGACACACTCCCTGGAAACATTGGGATGAAGGCTGGAGGCAAGAGGGAACGCAACATATCGGCATACCCAGTGCAGGCAGCCAGCGGATGGCACAGCATGTCTCCCTGGACCGCTGTGCCAACCCCTTTTAATGAAGATTAAACGTGACATTATGTTCAGTTGGTTAGTTCGGAGATTGGACCAAGCCATAAATAGTTCATTCCTGTATGGTTTGATGTGTGAGTGATCATGGGAAGGCTGTGATTATTAATACCATGGGAGGGGGGATGCTGTAACATTGCTCTGAGAAATACTTCTTAGAGGGATGTTTTTGCTAAAGGGAAATCCCTGAGGGTAAATAGGTTGTGAAAATGGACATGTGAAATAAAGACCACAGATGATGGTCAGGAAAACAACAAGTGGAGCGAGGTTCTGCTTTTTTTCCTTCTCCCAGTAGTGTTTCTGGAGAATGTGCTGATGCTTCCAAGCAACATGGGATGGCTCTCATCCTTGCCAGGCTCCTGCTTAGCAAGCGCTGGCTGCCCTGATCAGAAAGGACTAGTGGTGGGGGCTGCCTCAGCAGCCCCC